CACTCCTTTAATCAAACAGGCACCATTAACATAAATCTATTTCTCTTCTTTCCTTCTTTCCTGGGGGAAGGACAGGCCCTTCCTTCCCCATCAGGCCCTTGGTTAATGTTAGCAGATTTTGATAAGATGATGTGCTAAGCCCTCCAAATGCATTATCTCATTTGATCCTGACAACAACCCTTTTCTTGGTATTCCCATTTTATAGATGAGAACACTGAGGCTCAGAGAGTTGAAGTCACTAAGCCCAAAGTCACATAGCTAGTAAGTGAAGGGGCAGGGATTTGAATACAGGCAATCTGACAGTAGAGACCGAACTTTAAAGAATTACCCTACACGTGAGTCTGATGCCATTGAAATTATCATCTGTGGCTCAGCCTAGAAATCTTCTGTTAAATCCCATTATTAAGTGAACAATCGCTCCCTAACTTATCTGAACAGAAATGAAAGGCTGGTTCCAACACAAACCCCCATGTAGATCTCACCCGGTACCCTACTCACTAAAAACCTCAACTTGGAACCACGACTCACTGCTATCAGGGAAGCTGGGGAGATTTAGAACAGGGAATCAGAGAAGATCTTCCCAGTCCTGAGGGGCAGAAAGTATGACAAGAAGGCTGCAAGACATCTTTGTGGAAGATATTTCAGGAAATGAAAATCAGGGCAGGCCTCCATGGAGGACAAGGTGAGCTTTGATGACCTGATTATCCTAAGAATCAATACTAAGGAAGAGCAGGGTCAGGAAGTCAGTTCTGATTCTAAAAGGTGCACTCAGCATGGGCAGGTGCAGTTCTGCCTTTGTGTGACATACCGTGACATTGGTGATGAGTGGCGGAGAGGCATAGGTCAACACTGAGGAAGGCCCCACCACCGTGTAGCTGGGGCACACGGGCTGCACATACATGTCAGCTGAGTAAGGACAGCTGACAGCTTCATGGGGCACATACTCGGTGTAAGGTGTCCATGGGGCCAGGGGCTGGAGGGTGGCCGGGGTGGGCTGGGAGAGCCAGCCAGCACACAGGGCACCCTCCTCCGTCACTGCAGATGCAGAGACCTCCATGTCCAGGCAGGAAGGACCTGTGGGAAGAAGGACATTACGGAACTGCAGATGCCACCCAGATGAGAGGCGTGAAGAGACCAGGGCTACGGGGCACTCTTACCCACTGTGGTGTAGGTCGCCAGGGGCTGATGGGGCAGCACGACCTAGAGGGGAGAGGAGAAGACCAAGGTCAGCGTTCAGCCATCCCCAACTGGCCCTGTGCAGGGGACTTGCCCAGAGGGCCTCAGGGCAGGAGAGTAGAAGGTAGGAATCTCTCTGGTTAGAACAAAACACCCCACCCAGTACCCCAACAATCACCACCTACACTTGAGGAGTTTGTGTTTCCATTTAGCAGGAAGTGTGTGCGCTCAGGGAGATGGTATCTTCCTCTTATTAGGGATAGCCCCCAACTCACACCAGGGCATGTGAGTCATTTGCTCACTCAGACCTTGACAGTAGCTGTGTCCAGTGGGCCATCTGAGCCAGCCCCGATCCCTCATCCCAGTTACTCCACCCTCACTCTATCCGTGGCAGCCTCCACCATGCAGCCTTCTGCCTTCTGCTCCCAGCAACTATCCCACACAGTGAGGACCTACACTCCTTCCTGCCTAATCCCTTTGGTCACATCCCAACCCGTTCACCTGCACACACACACACACACACACACACAATCTCTCTCACACACAGACATACACACACACACACACATACATATACACACACTCATACACACATGCTCTCACACATACATAGACACACACACACACACACACAATCTCTCACGCACACACTCTCACACACATACACACACACATACACACTCACACACACATACATATACACACTCATACACACTCACACATACATACACACACGTAGACACACACTCACACACATACACACACATACATACACACACATATACATATACACACTCATACACACTCACACATACATACACACACGTAGACACACACTCACACACATACACACATACACACACACATACACACACACACATATACATATACACACTCATACACACACATACATACACACACGTAGACACACGCTCACACATACATGCACACACAGATACATACACACACACATATTCACACACAATCTCATACACTCACATACACATACGGTCTCACACACATACACATACACACACGCACTATGACACCCATGCCCACAATTCTCACACACAAATACACATTCTCACACACATATTCTCCCACATTCACACACTCACACATACACACACACACATACTCTTGCACACTCACACACACAATCACACACTTACCGCCGTAGGTGCAGGTGCTGTCCCGCTGCTGGCGTGGCCTCGCTTCCTCCTCAGCAGTTCCTTCACTGGCTCCTTCACGCGGACGCCCTGGTATGGCCGGGCCGGGGCCGGGGCTTGTTCCGGAGCTGTGGCTGTGAAAAGCAATGTCCCTGGAGCCCATGGTCCTTCTCGGACGAGCCCCCACCCCAAAGTGCTCATTTGCTCATGGATCTGCCTGCTCCCTAATTCATGCTTGAACACAGAAAACCAAGTGACACTTCCCAGAATACTTCTCCAGGATGGTCACTCCTCCTGCTTCCAAACTTTCTGTGGGTCCCCTGCACCCAGACAACTAAGGCCCAGCTCCTTATCCTACAACTTAGTTGTCTGGGTGCAGTGGACCCACAGTTTCCATTTAGCGCACAGACTTCCTGCTAAATGGAAACACAAATCCCTCAAGTGTAGGTAGTGATGGTTGGATAAGCCTTCAGAATGAGATCCGAACCCATTGTTCTCACCATTTTGCACACTCTCTACTACACAATCCCTGACTCCAACCAGAAGGTCTGTCTGTATTTCTCTACGTGTTCCCTGCATGTCTCACCCCCTCATCTGTGGTTGAGGTTTTCTGTGGTCAGAATTCTCTCTCACTTCTTTCAACCTCTTGGTTCTTGCTGACCCAAGACAAGTGCAACCCTCGTGCCTGACCCCTGCAGCCTGAGGAATTTCCACATCCTACAGCCTCTCAAACATTTCCAGACCTGATTAGTATTCATCATAGGTGGCAGTAGAGGACAGCTATAAAAGCAGGGACTCTGAGCCAGATGGCACAGGTCTCAAATCCTGCCCCTGCCACCACCTCGCTGTGTGATCCTGGGCAAGTTACTAAACCTCTCTGTGCCTCTTAATCTTCAGTTTCTTCATCAAAGGAATGTTGAGAGAAGTCACCTGATGTGGCAAATGGGTAGAACAGTATGTGCTTCAAATAAACTCAGGTACAGTGTAGGCATTCAAAACAACTCAGTCTGTTATGTAATAGTTATTCCTTCTGATGTGTCTGATGCCCACAACTAGCTTATAAACTTCTCAAGGTGAGTTCTTGTACCTTATTTCTCTATATGTTCCCAGTAGTATGCCCATCCGTCTTAAGCTCAGTTGATACTTATCTGTCTTAAGGTCAGCTGATTAATCGATTGGGTGACTCCTGAAGCTATGCTGCCATTTGTCTTCCCTTCACCTCTCCTCCACCTTTAGAATGGAGGCAAGTGGCTCCCAGGTTCTCAATGACTTCCAGGGCACGGAGCAAATACCCAAGGGTGATCCATGTACCCTGGAGCCAGAGAGCATCCACCTGCTGCTGAAAAATGGTTTCCTTCCCCTCTTGTCATCAAAGCAAAGAAACCAAAGCATTGACCCAAATAAGAGGCAGTGCGTAAGGCCCTTCCTGGCCTGGGAGAGCAATTGGAAAGCAGTCATGGCTGGGAAGTGACAAGCTGCCCACCCAGACGGCCTGTGGCCTAGGGGCCCTGGGCTCTCAGAGAGCAGGCCTGGGCCAGCCAAGAAACCCTAGCACTTAGGACTTCAACAGAGAGGCCATTATCATCCACCGATAAGGGATCCAGGGATGTGGCTCTGAATCAAAGTCCTGGAAACCTGGGTATCTGTTAAACCCGGATCTGCAGCGCTACCCTGGTTGAACTTTGCTCAGTAAACATCCAGCTGATAAGGTCCCATGCCTGACTCGGCACCAGATCTCCCTCCAGGTTCTAGCCATGAGCAAGTCCTGGCCTTGAAGCCCAGAAGGCAGAGAGAAGCTTGGGCAGAGGCAACAGGAAGCGGAAAGTGAGCCCCATAGGCAGATAATGTGGGGTGAGGAATCCCTGTATCTCAAGTGGACTTCAGACCCATCCTCCAAGGTCCCTCAGCTGGCCAGGTAGCAAATCAACCAGGAAGTGACACAATATACAGGTACAGGTCCTGCTCTGGGAGAGTGTGACTCTAGGGGGCTTATATGGGCCTAGGAATCTGTATGTATAAAAATCTCTCAGGTAATTCTGAAAACATATTAGCACTAAAACCACTGATAATTCATTCCTAATTTAACATAAGAATCTCCCTATAACATCCCAACAGGAGAGTCATTATCCTTATTTTAACTTCCCCCGTCTGAACAAGAGATCTACCAGTCTTGATTCATTCTTTCAAATATTTCTAGTGCCCAGGAGTACAGCACTGAGCAGGACTCATGCAGCCCCTGTCCATGTGGATCTTGCAGTCTAATGGGGAAGACAAGCAACAGAAGTTGCCAGCAGCAGAAGAACGTCACAACTTGTGAAATTCTGCCATAGGAGTGTCTAGCAGGGGGAACCAGCCTGGTATCTGTGCCCCAGGGCCAACTGTGCACCTTCACCTTAGTTCTGAACACCAGTGACAGTGGACTTGAGAACACACATACCTATATTCAAATCTGGGCTGTCGCTTACTGGTGGAAAGTTCTTAGATTTATTTAATGTCTCTGGGCTTCAATTTCCTCATTTGTAAAATGGGAATAATAACTCTTCTCTCACACAGTGGTTGTGAGGATTAACTGAAATAATACATTGGGAGCTCCAAAGGTCACATCTAGATGCTCAATGCATGTCATTTTTCTTCTCTTCCCTCAGGCCATTTCCACCTTCCTTACAGGGGGATATCATATCAGACAGCTCTTCATCTTACTGAAGCTGCCTTATGGTAACACATGCTGTATTTCCCTCCGTTACCTTCTAAAGAAACTCACGATCCTTATCCATTTACAGCTGTCTCATCTATAAAGTGAAGATCATAATGGTATGATGTTGTAGGGTAATTTAAGGATTACATGTGAAGAGCTTGGACTAGAGTTTGGCACCGAGCATTTAATACATGTGAGCTCTTATTATCATGCGTATTAGTAGTAATATTCCTTTTCCACATCTGAGAGACACTAGGTGCCCCCCTAGGTCTGAAGGGACTTATCTCACAATGACATGGTTTCAGTCTCCCCACCTTCCTTCTGGGTGAGTCACTCTTGCACAAGTTCCATTTGCCACTTTCCCTACTGCCAGGTGGTGCCCAGCGATGACCACAGACCCCAGGTACGACCTGACGTGTCAGACAGCAGAGCACCTGCCCTCCCAGACTCTGCTCACTCTTTCTCAGGATTACCCCATGGCTGTCGGCATTTTTAATTTTTATGAGTACATAGCCAGTGTATATATTTATGGAGTACATGAGATATTTGAATACGAGCATGCAATGCATAATCATCACATTAAGGTAAGTGGAGTACCCATCCCCTCAAGCATTTACCACTTCTTCGTGTCATAAACAATTCAATTATATTTTTTTAGTTATTTTTAAGTGTACCATAAATTATTGTTGACTAGAGTCACCCTGTGGTGCTATCAAATACTAGGTCATATTCATTCTCTCTCACCATATTTTTATACTCATTAATTATCCCCACACCCTCCCCCTGCTGCCCTTCCCAGCTTCTGGTAGCCATAATTCTACCAGAAGTGTGTGAATTTTTAGCTTCTACAAATGAGTGAGAGCATGAGAAATGTGTCTTTCTGTGCCTGGCTTATTTCCTTAACAGACTGTCCTCCGGTTCCATCCATGCTGTTGCACACATCAGTTTTGTTCACAGTCGTATCCTGCAATTCACACTTATCTCCAACTGAGTTCCCAGCTACTCCTTAGGCATAAAGTACAGCCTGAGGCATTCTGCACTTAAGAGAAATTTGGGAAAGGGGTTATTTGGGGGTCTGAGCACTGTGGTCACCCTCTTAATTCAGCTGAGGGACAAAAAGGGCTCAATCCCATATGAACATATATCAGACCAGCTCAGAGACAGGTGTATGGCTCACCCCCTCTCGTTTGCATGTACACCTCTGAGGAAGGGCTCAGAGGCCTCCTGGTCCCAGTTCCTCCCAGGAAGTGGACACACCACACACTTGGCTGGAAAGGGACCAGCTGGGCACTTCCAGGATCTTGTCAAGAGACAGCTCTCTGCCTCCTGCTGTTTGTAAATCAATGAACAAAGAGGGCTTGATGGAGGTGCCGTGGGCAGAGAGCATCACCCTCTAATGTCTGGACTTCCTTGGAAAGCACAGTGTCAACAGGTGTGCCCTGGCACAACAGACCATATGTGGCGCTATCTCTAAGTCCCCACCTCTTCCTATTGCCGTTGCAGGATTCCCACAGCTTCCAAGGGTCTCCTGACTGCCCGCCATGTGTCCACAGCCAGCTGCCGAGCAATCCTGTAACTGACTCCAACTGAGCAGGTAAGAGGGAGGGTGCTTCTCCTAGTGGCTTTGCAAAATGCTCATAAAATATCAGAATCTGAAGCCTCAAGACAATTCCAAAGGAGCCCAACAGGCAAGTGTTTTTGCAAGTTGAAACTTGCAGTTGGTACCTTTCACACCAACCTATGAGCAGCAAAAATAAACATTTTTAATTCCACAGTAAACACTGAGCTCCCTACTGTCACCATCATGAGAACTGAGCCCACAAATACAAATTTGGGAGGGGAAAAGAAGCTTGTCTAAAATCACGATTGCCTCACCTTGGGGCTCCTGTATCCCTGAATTAACTTCAAAACAACTAAACTGGAATCTGTACGGTAAATGTTTTTAACCTTTTAAATAATTTTCTAAAATAATAATTTAAAAATCCAAAGAAAATAAACCAGGAGATTGAAATAATAAGATATCAGCAGAGAAAATAGAAGCCCAATTTCCCAAAGTGGAGTTCCCCCGATCAACTTTCAGCTACAGGTAGTACACCCTCAAAGCCTGAAGCTTTCTCACCATTAATCCTGTGGTCTGAGAGCCTTTTAAGTCTCCCATGGGTATCCAAGAGTCTATCACTGAGGAAAATCTTTCCACCTCAGCATGAGCCCCTTGGTCCTGATTGGAAATCTTTTTCGGGCTGAGAAGTTCACCATATTGCCTTTCTATGCCACTGGAAGTCAGGCCAATGGAGTTTGAGAGAGAAAAAAATCATTTACGGAGAAACCATTAATTTGTCCCCTAATAAAAGCTTCCCTTTTCCAAAATGAGCAATGAAACAAAACCTGTAGGTATAAAAAGTCAGCAGAGACTATTTCAGTTCCCCCGCCACACACCCAGACATGCTCCACATCACAAAAATAAGAGTCCTGCAGCTGCTGTTCTGCTGGGGAGTGCAGAGCATGAAGACTCGAGCCAACTGGTCCCCTCAGCCATGCTCTGGCTGCATGTGGACATGTGTCTCTGCTTTGCACCAAGCTAGGAACATATGGAGTGTCCTGATTTAAATGAACATGGCACTCCAGTTCCTTGATGAAAGTATAATAAAATATCACCCAGGACATATGCAAAATAGTCAGCACTTGTTTATTTAATGACACCTTGCCAACCACACTCATGCCACAGTGCAGGAGCTACTCAGCTAAGGAGGTAAGTCAGTCCCTCCTGATGGCTCTGAGCAAAGCAAACACCTAGGGCCTGGTCACTGGTATCTTCTCTTCTGGGGCAACTTTAAGACAGCACATGTCAGAAGGCATTCATTCAGTAAAACAGCCTCCAAGGCACCCTTGAGAGAAGACCCTTCTCCCAGCCATTTCTCTCTTGTGACGTACCATGGGCTGCCATGGCCAGGCACCAGGGTGGACAACACTTAAGAGAGTGGCTCTAATGGCTAGGTGGGCTGCAGGATAAACATGCATTTCTGTCCAACCGTCTCACCCACTGAGAGCACTCTCCATTCACAACTGACTGGTTGAATCTTGAATTGGCAAGGCAGCACCACAGTGAGGGATAGAGCAGAGGAGAAGAATGTATCTTTCCTTATTAGATCAAGGCTTGAATCTGAAATTGCCCAACTGATCTAGGATACAATAACATAGGGATAACCTGTGGTTAGGCAGCTGAAGGAGGCAGCTGGATATCTGGTTGTTTGTCCCTTGATTTAAGCAATACCTAATTTTGGCTTTTCAAGACCAAAGAGAGCCTTGTGAAAAAATTAACTTTTCCTGTGACCATCATGTAAGGACCACTTCCTTGGAGGACAGACTCTTCAGACCCCAGCATTAGTTTTATATCTGGGGTCAGACCCAACTGCCCAAGTCCCAAGGCTCATGTTGGCCTGGGGTGCAGCCTATGTGAGTGAGAGTAGCCCTAACAATGGATTCATGAGAGACATCACTGTCAGTCAAGAGGAGCTTTCTGGATAATTCTCAGCTTTGCTAACCAATGGCCCTCATGATACAAGGGATTCCTTTATGAAGGACATTAGAGAAGGGGAGTGGTTGTTAGTATCAAGCCTGGGAAATAAGTCACTTGGTCAATTTTGGGGGAACTTACCTAAAAAACAAGTAAACCTTATAGCCACACAAGGTCATTTTGAAAGATAAAAGCTCCTAGCCCAGAAGAACATATGACACATTGTTAATGGTGACACACTATTGATCACTCTAGGTAACCACTATAAATATCTTTTGCTTCTGACTCTTCAGGATTTTTTTTAAGACCCAGTGAGAGGAAATACAATTTTCTTTTTATTTGTAGCAAAACTAACAAACTTGCCCTGGCTTCTACTGAAAATCAAGTCACAAAAGTTGGGGGCACCTGTCACTTTCCTATAACGAATTCTTTATATTTTCATACAAGAATTAGCTGGGCGTGGTGGCAGGCACCTGTAATCCCAACTATTCAGAGGCTGAGGCAGGAGAATCGCTTGAACCCAGGAAGCAGAGGTTGCAGTGAGCCAAGGCAACAGGAGCAAATCTCCATCTCACAAAAAAAAAAAAAAAAAAAAAAAAAAAAAAAAAATTCTCCATCTCAAAAAAAAAAAATGTTCATGTAAAGAATTTTGTTTGTGCTTGTGGCCCTAGGACTTCTAGAGAATGTTAACTCCAGTTGGCTAAAGCATTATTCACATCCTTAACTGAAACACTGATGTGGGTGATTTTCTTACAGTGACAGTCTGAGTCAGAGTTTTCAAATTTGTTCTTTCCATTCATGGACAATGGCTAATTTTTTTTCCAAACAGGAAGAAAGAAGTTGGATTTTGGCCAAAGGTTGGACTTGACATGCTGCAGAAAGGCTTCCTGCCCATTTACACCATACTGTAGTTTACCTTTTTTTTTAATGTAGGCCCACAAAGAAATCCCATATGCATGTAAACGTAGGCTTTCTGTTCACTGACATTTGAACTGAGAGGATCCTGTAGCCAGGAAATATAAACACATCACTCACGTATCCTACAATCTGGATGATACCCAGGACAGAGGAGAAAAAGACAGCAGGGGCAAAAGGTAGCTTTAAAGATGATTAGAAGACACGAGAGAAAGGGGAACCACTATTGAAATACAATTTGATGTTGCCTGCAAGGCTGCTGGATAGCTGAGGAGTAAGTTGTAATATCTTGCTTGATAGGCTGGAGTGTCTCTATCAGGAGATCACAAAGATCGTGGCTTACCTCACGTTCTCTGGTCTGGGTGAAGAAAGGAAAGGAACAGATGGTGACATTTGCCCTCCCTGTGTTCTCATTCTAAAAGACTATTCCTTCCCATCAGCCCTGCAGAGCTCACTCACCAACCATAGGCAGGTCCCCTGGGAAAGGCTGAACCAGGGGCCACAGTGACTGAGATTTTCCTCAAATCTAGGCAAGCCACCAGGACCTAGAGAGAACAGCCCTGACAACGGGAGCCAGGGGATGCTCTTAAGGTATGTTGGGGATGACGACAGAGGATTGTTCAGTCTTAGAGCCACAGAGCCCCAGACCAAACTGGTCCTGTTTAACGAAGGCCATAGCCAGCAGGGAATAGATGCCCAGGGCAGTCACACAGGGATTCCTCTAGGTTGTGTTAAGCTGAAGTAAAGAGCCCACTGACACACAGACCACCCTTATCCACCAAGCTCAGATCTTGATCTTAAGTGTCACTCAGAGAAATAAACAGGACACCTTGAGGCCTCAGGATTACCTGGATTGTCCCTAAAGTTCTGGATGTCCGTCCCATAACCAGAGGTGGAGGCAGCCAGAGGCCTCAAGTATGAGAGGTTTCAGCATGGCAGCGGCCCTCCCACCCTTCCCTCACAGGCACGACTGCCCAGGCATCCTCTCCCCAGTGCTCTCTGCACCTTCGACACCACACCTCCCTCCTTCGGAGCATCCTGCACAACAGATCAAGCACAAAAGGCTGTTTGTACCCATTCTCTTCTCCCAGGGACGTTCAATGTTAGGCCTCTTTTTATCTAGACTCAGGTCTGTTGAATGAATGGGTGGCAAAGGTCCATGTGTTTCCTGGTCACATTCTTAATTCTCAAGAACTCTGATATCACCATACTCCCATTTGCATGATGTTCCGTAGAGACTTTGACACTAATGATTACAGGTAGATCCTCACTACGATGAATTCCTCTTCCCCTCCCTTCCTTTACTGAGTAGGAAAGTGATGCTCAGAGACGTTCACTGACTTGACCAAGGACTCCACTTGTAAGTAACAGTGTCCTCAGCCAAGCACAGGACCTGTGATTCCAAGCACGGTCCACTTCGGCCTCACTGCCTGCCTCCTCCCTTCCCGGGCAAGTCCTGTTTATTTCTCTGAGTGACACTTAAGATCAATCATCAAATGATTCTTGGCCCGGTCCTAACCCTCCTTGCTCCAGTTAAAGTCTGGGCTTGGACCACCCTGATCCAGTTTCCCTTAATTGCCAATTTCCCCAAGAAATGGTGTTGCCCAGTTGAGAGAGGAGAGATCAGCCTATGAGAACCTTGTCAGCAGCCTTCTCACATGAGGAGTGACGAGAACTGAGAGACCCAAACAATTCCCCGCAAGGTTTTATTTTTGGTGTTTTTCGACTGAAATGACAGCGGACAGGTCCACCTGAGAAACCAGCTGCATCTGCCCGCCTTTTACAGAAACTGGAGTCAGCAGAGCAGAAAGGGTTCCTATCTCAGCTACATTGTGTCCCGGGGTAGGGGACAAGACTAGGAGACCCCTGGCAGAGCATTCATTGAACAAGTACTTGCTGAGAACAGATGTGGTTCCTGCCCTCTTGGAGCTTACAGTCTAGTCTAGTGCGGTACACAGACTTTAATCAAATAATTGCACAAGCAAATTTAGAATTGCAAACCATGACAGAGCTGCATCTGCCTCAGAAATGAAGTGGTTCTGGCTTGTTTGAATGGTTTAGTAAGGCTTGAACAAGCAGCAAACTAGGTTTCTCAGTCTACAGAGACTGTATAGAGGAGAGTGCAAGTGATATGACTGTTCTGTCTTCAATGCAGAGGAGCTGTACTAGGGCCAGAGGCTGAGGCCACATCATGAGCAGACCTTTGTCCCGCACCCTCTAAGTAGCAGGTCCTTGAGTGAATCCTAAGGGTGTGTCACTAGCTGGTCCTATCCTTTCTTGGCTGATTGGGCCACCAAGAGAAGAGAAGTCCAGGGAACTCAGAGCCTAAGGTGGAAATCAGCAGTTTTCAGAGTTTCCATACTGAGTCCCAAGGGTGACTTGCTAAGAATCAAATTTGCAGAGGCTTTTGTGCCAGGCTAGAACTACTCTTGATGAAGTCATAACGTGCTCCATCTATGCATGGGCCCTGTTCAACTGGGAGGGGAAGAAGGACCCAGTGCAACACTAAAATCCTTGTCATTGAGAAGCAGTGTGGTATACTTTGGGACTAGACCTAGCTTAGAAAGCCTGCTGTGTTGCTTATCACCTGTGTGACTCTTGGAGAATCACTTAACCAGTGTGTGCCTCAGTTTCCCCATCTACAAAATGAAAATAATAATATCCATCTCAAAGGGTTATCATGAGAACTGTATGAGAGTAACACAAGAAACACCTGGTGCATAGTGGGTTCCCAACAAATAGCCGTTTCTCCTTTGATCTCAGCCAACAATCCATGGCCCATCAGTCATTGGAAGTAGCCTTGGTACAGCGACCGTAACTTGCCCCCATTCAACTACATCCTGATACTGAATGTCTCTGTCTTCAGCACACCCAGGATCTTCTGCTGCCTGCAAGGCTTGTCTCTGCCTGCCTTCATTATGCTCCTGGAATTTATCACTCAGGTACCTGGAATCCGCAGGCATCAAGACAGCCCCACTTAGGAGACAGGGAAGCCAATGATGCCACAGAGAGACTGGTCAAAGACCCCACTTTCATATAGCAATCCTAGATGAAGACATCAAACCCTCAGAAACAGGCTTTTATAAAGATACCATGAGCTGAGCAGAAGACTTCTTTCTTCAGAAGTCACCAAAGGATTAGGTTTGCAGCAGATTTGAGTTTTTAAAGGATTACTCTAGAAATGAAAACCTCGGATATTTTGAATGGCAGCAATTAGGTTGCAGACAGAGTATGATGGCATCCCCTTGCCCTGACCTCAGATGCAGCCCCTTAAGGAACCTGTACTTGTCTCCTAAAGGCCAGGAGCACAGCCATGGCTGAGGCTGTGTTGTAGATACTACTCTGAGTGAGATAAAAACATAGGAGCACATATCGCATATGGAATAGAAACGTGGCAATGGGCAAGGGAGTGCTCTTCAGTGACTGTAGGTGGGAGTTTTATCACCTTGTAGAGCAAGGCAGGTTCCTGGATCACATATTTGGCATTCCCTCAGCTTTACTGAGAGTGGGGCATCAGAAGGAGAGAGAAAGGACCTAAACAGAGCTCCAGATCTACCGTCCCAGATCAGGTGAATGAGAAGAGTCGACCTACCCCAGTGACCACCCCAATTCTATAGCAAAGCAGTACAACAGTGAATGATGAAGCACAGGAAATGGATGTATCCACCCTTATTAGATCAAGGCGTGACTCTATAATTGCCCATCTGAGCTAGGATGGGAATAACCTGTGGTTAGGCAGCTGAAGGAGGT